CCTAGAGCAAAGAGTACTTCCAAGCATTTTTGCTCTGTGAATTAATGCAAAAATAACTTTGCACACTTGCTTGAATAGATTCAATTCTTCTCTCATTCACTTTAGCAGAATTTGCTGAGCAAATGCATGTATTCTATTCACCTGTGAATCTTAACAGGAGAAATAATCTGTTAACATCTTCAGTGGAAAAGCAGCTATTACAAGGATGAACAATGTATCATTATTACATCAATACCCAGAGAGTAGTATAGTATAAGATGATACTAAACCATATTTTCTAGCCATTGCAATTTCTGCACTGGAAGGGTGCTTCTTCCAAAACTGAAACAATCACTTAATGAAATGTATATCCTACCATGAGTGGTGCATAAACACTAGAAGAGAAGGATATGAATGTTTAAATATAACTAAGTTAGGGGTGTGCAGCCCTTCAGATTTGAAGTCAAAAAGGTCCTTCAGCATAGACAAAGGTGCTCATGCAACACCTGTCATTACCTCTGTAAAGAAGCTGCAACTTTCCCAAGACTTGCATAATAGCTGCAAGATCCCAGGAAAGTACACATTTGAGCTAAGGAGACACCAAGAGTGTACTCACTGCCCGCTTCAAAGGACCTTTTCAGCTTACTTGTAGTGCACATCTTAAAATAAATGCTTTTTCCTAATTGATGTAAACTGAAAATTGAAGAGTAAGTGTTTGATACATAGCTGAGTAATGATGTACCTTCATAATTTCTCGATAAGGATGATCCTGGATTGCAAGATGGCACTCATCAAAAATAAGGAGATTAATGTTTGAGAGGGCTAAATGTTCATTTTTTAAAACATTCAAAGCGACCCGACAGGTCATAACCAGAACCTGAATATAAAAAAATGTAAGACGAAAATAGCATTATTGCTGTAGAAAGAACTAATGGTTACTCAAGTTAGTCAACATTAAAAATTGAATCCTTGTTTCTTTCTACATTAAGACAGGCTGCAACAGAATTTGGCCTTTCATTTAAACTTCAGACCACATGAATTGAATGCATTTTAATCCTATTCAAAAGCTGCTCAAACGGAATAATAATATCCCATTTTTATCAAACTAGACAACAATATTTATAAAGCTGTTCTATAATACTCATTCCCAATAAAGAAAGCCAAGGGAACAAAATAGAAAAGAAACTGCCATTGTATGATTTTAAAATTCTAATTATGTAGAGAATTAAAACTTAGATTTAAAAAAAAACTGCAGACATTTTTAGCATAACATCTAATTGCCACAGATTCAGAGAAATACCAGCTAAGGGCAAAAATCCCTTAAAGTTGTACATTCGAGCCACCTTTCCTCTCCTTTAGAAGAAACACAGCTTTCTGCATTTCCCATCCCTATGTAGCACAAGTAGCCTGAGAATGCGATTAGTATACCAAGCTCTGTTCTGAGATAAAGGAAAGATTAACAGATTTTTTTTGGGGGGGGTGTCTTCGAGTCAGTCTTGACTCCTGGCGACTGCCTGGACTAGTCCTTACAGTTTTCTTGGCAAGACTTTGCAGAATGGTTTGCTACTGCCTCCTGCCTAAGGCTGAGAAAAAGTGATGGCCCAAGGTTATCCAGCTGGCTTTGAGCCTAAGGTGGGACTACAACTAAAGTCTCCTGGTTTCTAGCCTGGTGCCTTAACCACTACACCAAACTGGCTCTCTAATAGACTTCAGGCCTTCTTAACCACCATCCTTCAAATCTACTTCATTCCAGGGACTTGCTTCTGTTTATACAGAAAGAGCGGTCTAGAGAACCACTAGGATGTTTATCAAAGCAATTTTTATTCAGAGGACACTATTAACAAATTTCTCGTATAACATTACACAAGTAATAGAGTAAGCTACAGACTTTGGCTGTACATCCCATTTAAATGGGTAAGGCTATATTTAATACCATATTGCCAGTCCTCATATCTTTCCTAATTCTATTCTGCCCATAATCAACTTAAAAATACTGCACAGTACATTTATGTCATTTATGTTTTACTGAAATAACACACATTTTTTTAACAGATAAAATTAACCATGGTGTCAGTTTATAGCATAAAAAGGTATGATGATATCTTACCTGGTACTTAGCAAATTCCTGGTTCCATCTTTCTTTTGTCCATGCTTCTGTTATTTCTAAACTTGAATACTCTCCCACTTTAAGATCTGAATGAGTCTTAACAGTTGATACTTGCTGAGCGACTTGGTTTGCTTTATGGAAAAAAAAAAAGACAGACTGGAGGTAGCAAAATAAACATTTTGACATGTATTCTCAAATCCACATGCAACTAGATTCATCCATATTAGGTCTGTAAAAAGTAGACACTTTGCAGTTACGTTTGGCTATTTTTCACACGGTGATTGTATTCAAATCCTTAACATATACAGCCATATAACTTCAATTTCATCTTGCCTGTTAACAAAACATTATTTCATTTTCTTGTTTTAGAACTCTAGCCTAATTTTATGGTAAAATTAAAAATGATCTGTTCCTTATTTATTAAATTACATTACATCCATACCAGAGTTGACCAAAAATACTGTTCTTTTTCCATTTTTGTTGAAGTCTCCCCTGATCTGATAAGATAGTTCTTTAATGAGTAGTACTGCAATAAAAGTCTTCCCTGAGCCAGTGTTCAAACAGACTATAGTATTGTGATCCAGAGCTGCTTCCAGGAGTTCCACCTAAAACAAATATAAATATATATATTTTTAAAATCCTTAAATTATATATAAGTAAGATTTCAGACTAATCAATCAAGTATCTTCAAAAACACTTAACTGGTTAGGGAGAGCCAAATCAAACATTGTCTCTTGCTTTGAGAGAACATTTTGAAGTCATAGATACTTGAAGTATAACAGCTCAACATTATGGGTATTTTTCTGGACTCACAGCTCCTGCTTGAAAAGCAGGTGTAGGCTGTGACTGGGAGGGCTTTCAATAATTATACCTTGTGCTCTATTTGCAGCCATTTCTGGGACAGGAAGCTTTCCTCTTGGCCATGCATGGCTTTGTCCCCTTGTGGAGGGACTAATGCAATTTGTTATACATAGAGCTGTCCTTGAAGACCACTTGGAAACTTCAGCTGGCTGAGCATACAACAGTTCAAGCAAGTATGGGAGTATTTAGGTTCATTCATGCAGCACCACTACTATATGAGCTGCATTGGCTGCCAGTCAGCTTCTGCCAATGACAGATCTTCTAGATCAGATTACACTGCAATAGGATGTCTATTTCAGAGCCCAAGTGGGAACCTCACAGACTTCCTCTATGAATGGTGAACATTTGCTTCACAAAGGCTATTTATACATTCCCTGTCCTTTAAAGGAACAGGCAATGCAACTCTGCCATCATAATAAGACAGCTGGACATGGAGCAGTGTTTAAAACTTTGCATTGGGTACTTTGAGAGTTCTGGTGGTTCAGGGTGAGAGTAGATGTCACGTTTGTCACTGAACCAAGACTGTCCCTGGGAAGCCATCTGGTTTGCTTCAGCCCCTCCCTTCATCAGTAGCACCATGGGACTCTGTTTCAATGGATTTTACTAAAGGTATTCCCCTGGTACAGGGCTTACACAACCATTTTTTTGTTGTAGTCAATTTGTTTACAAAGATTACTCATTTTATTCCTTGCATAGGCCTTCCACTGGCACAGGAGATGGTGCAGCTTTTTCTAGACCAGTGTTTCTTAAACTTTTCTCTCTCCCTTCAGTCTTAAAAATTACGGAGGATCCCAAAAGAACTTTTATTTATATGGGTTATGTTTATCGATATTTACTGTATTAAAAATTAAAATTGATGTATTCGCTGCCACTACCACTTCTCATGGTTGTTTGATGGGATTTTAACATTGTATTATTTTTCGACATAGGCTGGCAAATAATTTTGATTTCACAGATCTCTGAGAGGATCTTGAGGGACCTCCAGGGGTCCTAGGACACACTTCAAGAAACACCATTCTAGACCATGTTTTTAGATACCAGTGCATGTGTGTGTGCATTAGTGAATCATGTAATCTCAGCTCTCAGTTTACATCAACGTTTTGGAAGGCCCTCTTTTGGCTATTAGACTTTCTGATTAATTTGCCATCCTTGGATCATCTGGTCTCTAATGGGCAATCAGAGAGACTGAACCAATAATCAGAACAGTGCTTGAGTTGCTATGTCTCTTATCAGCAGGACAAGCTGACTGAACTGTTGCCTCCTGCAGAATTTGCCTGTAACAACTCAATACATTCCTCCATAGGTAGGTCTCCCCTTCAAGCAATCTATGGCTGCCATCTCCACTTCTTGCCCTCCAGAACTCTAGCATCCGCTGGAGTTCCTCACGTCTTGGACTTTCTGCAGAAGAAACAGGTTGCTCATCTCTTCTTAAAGATGCACTTAGATTTGGCAAAGACTGCGTACAAGCAGGCCACAGATGTTGACAGTAAAAAGGGAGTAGGATTTATGGTAGATAGATAAATAATGTGTCCTAAATTATGCAAATCAAACAAAAGTCAAGGAAACATTTTCACACTTAGATAAGAAGAAAGACTGTTGATTTCCTTTTACTTTTCTTCTCCATTTCTTATTACAATGATAATCTATTAGGGAGGGACTATGACTCCCAGGTGTGCCAAGGGGGAAATGGGAAAACCCAATACGAACATTATATTTCATGCATTGTTGTTTCGATTAAAGCAAATGAGTTAATATAATCGTAAATGTTGTATCACTTTCTAGATTCTGTAGTACAATATTTCAACTTTAAAATTCCTGGTCAGATAATGGTAACACACAGATGCCAATATCTTTTCTGCTTCTAGTGTTAACAAGAGGAGACAAAAAATAACTGTAATGAACAGGTAATCTAACAGAAATGCACTCTAAGGACATAAACATATTTTAATTATTAATAATATTAGCACTAACTGTAATAAACAGGTAATCTAACAGAAATGCACTCTAAGGACATAAACATATTTTAATTATTAATAATATTAGCACTAACTGTAATAAACAGGTAATCTAACAGAAATGCACTCTAAGGACATAAACATATTTTAATTATTAATAATATTAGCACTAACTGTAATAAACAGGTAATCTAACAGAAATGCACTCTAAGGACATAAACATATTTTAATTATTAATAATATTAGCACTAACTGTAATAAACAGGTAATCTAACAGAAATGCACTCTAAGGACATAAACATATTTTAATTATTAATAATATTAGCACTATAATTAGTACCTGATATTTTCTTGGTGTGTAAATGTTATCATGAATTGCTTCTTGTTGCCATGGTAGTCCAAAAAAAGGACCCATTGGAGAGGAAGCTGGGGTCATGAGTTGTAGTCCTGCCATGTTGAGGGATTATAAAGCAGGACTTTTCATTCATTCATCCAGTGTTTCTTTCATAGCATTTTTCCTGCACAGCTTACTAGTGTGGAAGAGATTGCAACAACATTAAAACTACTTATTAATCATTTATGCATATATACAGAAAATATTTAAAAGTTTAAAAAGTAAAAACTGACACAAGCATAGAATCCCAAGAGACAATCCAGAAACAAAAGGTGAAAAGCATTACATTGTCACCATGGCTAGGCAGCATTCTTCCAATTCCTAAAAAAGAAGTGTACAATCTTTTTTCAGGCAAAAAG